AAGCAGGACATGAGGTTGACGAAAACTCGGGGACTGCGCACACCTGATGAGTCCCAAGAAGGGCGAAACCGGTCGTGGGCTATCGAGGAGTTTTCAGCAACCTTATGTGTAGTGCATTACAACGATACATGTATCGCGATATCTCGAGTATCGTAGCGACTGGTGGAGTGGCGGATTAGTCACATTATGTGACTCAGTTTCTTCTCAAACTGGAATGAATCAAAAGATCGCATCATTGACCACCCAAAGTAGAACGCAACTGGTTACCGTTCTGGTTCACCATTCTATCTTAATCCTGTGCTAGTCATCATTTACCGAGGGATCAATGTTAGTATTTGTCTACCATAATGAACGGCAATCGTTGGTTTGAGGCGAGGATACAAAAGTCAATTAATGGACAAACGTTGGGCGCTCGTCGTTCGTGAATGTACTTAGTGAATAAAGCACCCAGGCCAACGTAAGCAAGCGGCGATTGACATAAAGTCAATTTTTCTTTCTTAAGTTCTGTCTACGTATCAGACAATATACCGGACAGAATGGCTGCTGGAGTCTGCTGATCACATTTTCAACCTCTAGACAAGAATAGTTTGAAAATGGGTAGATTTCAGGAAAACTGGAGACAATGAGTCCGCGGGTTGTCATAAAAAACAAGGAGGCATACAATTCAAGATGCGATTACTTCAAATTAATTGTGCCATCCACCACATGAAACACTCCGTATGTGCACGGAAATGACATAGCGTGAATGTGCTTAAAAGGTCTGACGGCCTTGCACTGCAAATGTACAGATTCATCTGTAGCGGACTAGGACCTTATCAGCGTGTTCGGATAAATTAAGAAGCAAAGTAACCAATACAAAATCACAAAATCACAATAGGAAAGGAATGAGTAGTCAAATGGGTACTCACGAATGTGTAGATCCAATAGTCCACTGCACCGATCCAAATGCAGTAACTGGCTGTGAAAGGAAATATTCACTTGTCGAAATTACCCACAGATGGTTTCGGGTGAGTGATATATTCCACGGTAGGAAAATTATTCACGGCTAAAAAATGTCACAGGGGTTCATTGTGACGTTCAACAGTTTACACAAACACAGAGATTTAGTCCCACTGGTTCAACGGTCAACAAACAGTTCAATGGAGCGTAAATACACTCGTTCAGCAAGAAGTCAGCAGGTCGCCAGAAAATTGTGTATTTGTAACATTAAAACAAACGTCATGATACAATGTGAACGACAATTACAAAGTGTGGTTCAAGTTCAGGAAGAATGGTAAATGTGACAACGGATTACAGACACTACACATCCCTATTTGGAATCATCAGCAGTGTGCAACTCACGGAAGACAGGGTCTCGAACCAGTGAACTCTGGGTTAGTAGTTTGAAAATCTAGTAACTACTAACCAGAAGGTCGCGTGTTTGATATTCTCTCGATCTTTGGGAGATGTTCACTGCAAATGATAACCAATGAGGATTGAATAGCCTTATAATGCGTCTCAGCTTTTCAGCATAGATTGGATCCGCTTAAAGGACCGAATTGCCATTGAAATTCCAAAAGTTCCCCACATCTGCAACAAATAAAAGTGCGGAAGTCATATTATGTTACTGCCCCACAGCTGTCTTCCGCTGATATGACCTTCACAAGAAACCCCCCGTAAGGCTGTGAACAACTCTTCGCCTCTGAAACTGTGTTGATTAACGATAGGTTTAGCTATACGCTCACAGTAAACAGCAAATTATTCATTATTTTTGTGAGCCTATTACCCTCATTAACTCGTTAATTCTTTAAATTCTGTATGTAGCATGGGATAACCGTGACTGCCGTATAGTTTCACATAAATTTGGATATTCTGACTCGATGGCGATCACATAAGTAAGCTTTGTGTGCCATGCTGATTCCACCAAGGAATAGGATGTGGTTGTATTTTGGAGCTTCATGAAATGCAGACGCCTAAATTTTGTACTCACTCTTATGAGGGATGCTCGAATCCAAATATTAATGTCATAAACTAAACAAATAGACAAATTCTCCTAAAACCTTCTACGTATCTCAAAAGCTACCACAGCATGGCCTGGGATTTGCATATTCGCGTCTGACATTCAAATTGTGATAGTTACTTACACTCACTTGTGTGATAAAATGAATATTAGCTCAAATAATTCATCTTATTCTTCCCTGTTCCGCGGAACAAATGAGGACAGACCAGAAATTATCACTTGTCCAATTTTAGCTTCAAGGGATATCGTTTGCTTGCACATCTGCACATCGTTTGCTTGCACTCTTTTGAAGTTTTTATGACGGCTCAGTCTCGCGCTCACCTTACCTGTGACTCATCCTTCAGATCTGGTCCCGTGCCCTACTTGAGCAAAAAATTGTACTCAGTTGGTAAAAGTATACCCGAAGTCGCGTGTCCGGAAAGCTAAATTTCTGAAAATAACCGCAGAATGTCGGGAACAGCCAGAATGTAGCCATTATCAATTCTACTGAAGTCACTTCAAGTAGGTCACCGGATCCACGAGCCAGAAAACCCAGCTATCGACTGAAAGTTGAAGCAGCTAATCGGTGACGAATGTCGACACTTGGGTCTTCAGGCCTGACCCACAAACGATGCCAACCACCCAACCTGGCAGCTTGGACTGAAAGTCAAATGTACGCTCTAAATGGCTCCATGCTGCTGTTATTTTGAACTCACCTGTTTTGATTGGGGCTGTTGTGACGTCCAAGGTATCTTGTAGCTTCCTGGACCTCCGCGGACCACGTTGAATACATTTTACGTTCCTCCCAGATTTACCATTGAGTTAGCTTCGGTGATAATAAACTGGAAATAAACTGGATAATAAACTGGAAATAAATTGCCTATAAGAATGAAGCGGAAGCACTGACTAACGTTGTTCACCAGCAGAGTTTTAGAACATTGTTTGATTGACCGCTTCTGATGAGGCTTTTTGGAAAAATCTGTATTCCTGTGCGCTTGCCGACGACCCATCTACATTCAGTTTTCGCTTTTGCTTTGTCGGTGTTAAATCCATCAACTAAAAAAACGGAAACAAGAGCATGCCGTTAAACTATATTCCTCAACCTACCGCTTATTTATCCCGCTGAAGTTAGAGTTTGTGTTGCACAGGTCGCCACCTTCATTTAAAGTACCAGGGAAGCCATTTGAGAAAACGGTGCATACACGAATATCCTGAAACAAAAATGTATAATTTCGGGCCAAAATGTGCTACCCAGAGCATGAGCAGTGCATAGAATCTAGTTCTTCAATAAAGCATTGTCAGTTTGGGTCCGACTTAATGAGACGCTTGTGCTGAGAAAATGGTTCAGCTGGACTCATGCTGAGGGTACCGAAGTCTAGTGACAGATTAGGCCAAGGGAATGTCAAGGCTTAAGAGTATCTTTCTCTAATGACAGTGTAGTAGATGTCAGGGCCATACTAATCAGCAACCGATACGAGGTATGTCATAGATTTTTTCGAAAACGTTTCACACTTCATGCTACCCGGAAGAAGCAGAAACACGAGGGCTGGGATACTGCCAGGTCGCCCAAGTCTACGCAGGGAAAGTCGAGAGACAGAGATCGGGTTCGAACCACGGACCTTCCGGTCAGTAAATTCGTGCTCTAACCACTTGAGCCATCTCGCTCCCATCATGGCTAATTAACGATGACCATGCTCATAGGGTGGTAGTTTGGTGTATCGACAACTTTCCCTGCCCATAAAGCAAACCCATACCCTCATCTAGGTGCACGACTGGAGTATGGATACCGATCAGCAGTGTGTCTGCTATATTTTAAAAACAGCGGGGGTCGTTTCGAAATTAGATATTAGATTAATATACTGAAATAATCTTTCACGAGTCAATAATAAAAAACTCTAGTGAAGAGCAGCCCCTTCTTGCAACTGCATTCGTCAATTGTGAAGGCCCGCTAATTTGATCAAATCTCCCCATCTTAATAAAAGGTATAGATACTTTTCTGTTAAAGGCGCACCGCAATACTTCTAAGGTTGCTGAAACTATCAGTCAGCCCACGACCAGTTTCCTCGTCCTTGGGGGCTCGCCAAAGAGGCCCATTCCCCGATTTTCCATCAACCTTATGTTCTGCTTGAACCCAAAGTGGACAGATTCGAACAGATACTCTCATTTGCACACGAATCTAGTTTCAACAGAAGGCCCAGCTGAATACAACTAAATCTCTCGTTTACGATGTGAATAATCATAAAGGAGAGCTTAAACGTGGTACAGATATTTTGCCTGAAGAATATTCTATGTCTATCACTTTGCCCAACACCATGATTGAAACTACTACACCACTGCGACCAGATGATTTAACAATTAAAATTACGGATGCGTATAAAAATGGTCGCTTACAGTAGAAAAATAAGGAAAAACAGGCTTTCAGTTGAGTGCCAGTACGTGTTTCTCTGAAGCATTTGAGATCACTGCCTAGAAAGCATTTTTGCTACGTTGAGTGATGCTGAGGTTGAATTCGAACCTGAGGACCCATTTCTAGTTCCACTATCATACTATGTGACGTTAAGTTCTTCTTGAGTAATCAAAGATCAAGTAATTTTCGGTTTGTTTGTCTCTGTTTCTTGATAATGCTCATGCTCCTGGTTTGACTCTGAGTATGGATAGTGTAAAATATTTGTTCACCGCTAACTCTGACAGATCATTCGAATAAAATTTTTGCGTCATGCTGGCCCCCGAGCAACTCAACCCTGATATTGTCCCTTGCATCACAAGCCCTGCATTATGTCATCCAATTTATTTATTTTTCGTTTTTTTTACAGCAGCCTGGTTGGCGTACCTCAGACTGTCACCGTCAAGACATCATTCGCAGGCGCCTGTATATCACTGCACAGCTTTTGAATGTCCATTATAGAAACATTCATTTAGTATTTAGTGTTGCTCGCACTCGCCACTAAGAATGTGCAAAAAGTCAACTCCTGTAGCCACGAACTCGGCGCATGCTTCACAATGAGTTGGCAACCTGTTTGTCAGAGCAGGTGGTCGTTGCTATATGGGGACTTTGATGTTTCTCGGCTGATAAATAAATACGCATAAAACCCATTTGCTATCCTAATCCTTAACACGGACTACATATCTCTGCAAGAGTGATGGGATGTAGTTCACACTGGACGGATCACGTTCCAAAAACTAACGGTAAACCCTCACTGAGGGGAAAGTCGTTCCGCATGGCCCAACGACTATTTTGTTCCATGCCCAAAGTTTTATATGTGAATTATAGACAAAAAACAATGCACTGCTTGGACTAACCATAAACCTTGGAGGTTCTCTGAAGTGTATGTCCCCCTACTCGACTTGTATGGTGGGACAGCAGAAAGTCTATTCTTTTGGCCAACGAACAAGATGAACTTTCGAGAAATGCTGAGTTGTAGAAAGGTAGCATTCTATTGAACGCCTGAGCTTTTAACCTCAATCAATGCCTGAGAAAAGAACTCGAGTAATGATGAATGAACGAACGAGTATATGAAGTAAACATAAATTACTAAATAAGTGGATCGGGGACTAAGTGTAATAGTGCATCATTGAACGTCCCTTAGTCAGAAGACAGATCGTGCCATTTGATATTTCGTTGGTTTCCTTACAAAGTGAAAAACAAAGTATTTCAGATGTTTCAAAAAAGTTTCGTGCATGAGCGAAAGAACTTAGCAAAAGGCTGAGAAGCGCAAATTATTCATTTTTTTAGATACATTTTTTGTCTTCAAAAGAATTCACTGATAAAGAAAAGAAGGCGAATACATTTTGTCGACACCTTCAGCTGATGATCAGTTGATTGGTCGGACTGTTTACTGGCGTAGTAAACAAAGGGAACACGCCTTGTGCGTTTTCCCCTCAACTCGCCATCCAGTATTCTGTCGATGGATAATTCTGCTCCGGATTTAAGAGCAAACAAGTGGTTGATTCACTTGTTTAGAATTTCAAGTTATTAAGAGACCGCTTTTTCACCCCGTATTTCACGTACTTCTAAATAAAATCTTTATTCAATTTAATGGTTGGTAGTCGATTTTGGGTTTCTTCGTGGTTGATGCTTCTCATTAGTGAATATAGATGGCAGTAGAGACAATAAAATTTTCCCAGTCTGCCATACAGAACAACGGTTCTCCAAAGCCCAGAAGATTTAGAATCCTTCCACGTGGTTTACTGAACATTCGCTTTGAAACAGACATCTATCTTTTCAATGTCGACGATTGGATTTCGTTGTCCTTTTACCCCACACACGGTTCTTGATATCATGAGCCGCAAACAAACCTCGATTGACGGTGACAAAGTCAATCACTACTGACGATGGGGCGACATTGACTTCTGACGATGTACTATAAAATACGGGTAGGACTAGAATCTCTTCAATCGTTTTCGCGGTCAGCTCTGGTATTTGTGCGTATTTTCTCAAGGCGATTGCTAAGCGTGGTATAAAATGGTCGATGTACAAGTCCACAGTGATTTGGCGGCGATCATTTGAGACAGAATGAAATATCTGAGTGTGAACTCCACCAAACACAAGAGGAGAAACATTCTTAGCTTTAAGCCAGTCAATGAACTTGGATTCCCTCAGCATTTTCAGTGAGGTTTTTTCCCCTATTGTGCCACAAAACCTACCAGCTGCTCCGGTATAGCAGAAGATAATCGATTTTAAAGCTCCTCTCCGAGTGGTCCAGTCACGACACTTATGATATTCTGCGAACGTGGATAAAACTGCCAAGCTGGCGAAGGGTGGATCTTTCAGCACACAGTTTGTCAGTATAGGGGGAAGTTTTCCAGAATCACCACTGGTGGATCCAATTTTTCCCCGTTCTCCTTCATGTTGCGCCATCTCGTGTGTGTGCGAGTCAGAACGACAGTGTATATTTGAATTCAGTCGGCGATCGATCCATGTGAGTGCACTAGCTTCTGTCTTTTCGTGTGGGCTATCAGTAAGCTGCCAAGACATGTGCAAAGTGGGATTAAAATCTAATACACAGTGCAAGCCATTGATAATGTTCGATTTTCTTTCCCTATGGTAGTTCGACTTCAGGTGTTCTTTGAAATTATGGTGGATGGTATAACAGTGGTCAGGTTGCACCTGGATCGCATCGTGCATTACAGTTTACGGTGATCCTGCACTACAGTTGGCGTGTTCAGAAAATAAGCCTTTTAGAATGGTTGATGAGAAATAAACCAGGCTATGTTGGAGAAGCTGAGAATGCAACCATCTGTGAAACTGTTAGGGTGGCACGTATTCTGATAGTTAAACGCACTGCGCAAGAAAGGTGGACGTGCGCAACGCTTTCAGACAACGGCAGACCAGATTAAGAGATGAAAGCCAATATGATGATGACACCAAAGTATATATCGATTGAAAATTTTGAGACAAAAATCAAAGTATCAGATTTATTCTATTCTGATCTCAGCTTCTTCTTATAGTTTGATGACAATCTCATCCTTTTATTGAAACTCACTCTTCTCTGCAAAAAATATGCATGTATTGGAAAGTAAGCGAAGCGTGCTACCAGGGAAGCTCCCATTTAGTGGGAAGGGTTAATGTTTTATCATTCAGCCAGAATTACGTTGCCTGATTTCATACAGACTGGTAAATAATGAGGTTGATCTGCAGCAGTAGAAAAATCAGTCCATGGGAAGCAACCGATGTTGCTACTGGAGTTTCCAAAAACAGCTTTAAAAATGGCGGATACACCAAATCAGCGGCGTAAATGGTATCTGTTTCGACAAACGACTAACTCGCCACTGCGACGTTGTCAGCCTTTTTGAGCTTAACTGGTTACGATCCAAACTGAGAACAGTTTTGCTGATCACTTTCCACAGCCAAGCACCATCACATTCTAAGGAACCGTCAGTAAGTAATTTTCAGCTTTTTTTTCGAGAAATACACTAATTTGTAAATCAATGTGGTTATTACGAGAGACTAAACTGAATCTCTCCTATATGATATTCTACAACTGAATGTGCTGCACACAAGCGAGAAAAATCCGTGAAGGAACCCAGTTGGTAAGCAAGCTTAGGTTCCTCTGTGGAGTAAAGATCACGTGCAGCATCTCTCCTAATGATATTCTACAACTGAATGTGCTGCACACAAGCGAGAAAAATCCGTGAAGGAACCCAGTTGGTAAGCAAGCTTAGGTTCCTCTGTGGAGTAAAGATCACGTGCAGCAATTGTATCACGTCCTCATTTGGCGTATCAAGTGTTTGCCAATCACGACAAGTGCGTGGCCCATGACCATGGTGTTTGAGGATTCATGAACCACATTTTCGTTTGCATCATCCATAATATCTAGAAGCCAGATATGTTCCTAATGGACATTGTAGTGGTCAGTTCCGTGGGAAGTATTCTACACAAAAGTACACAACAGACCATTTTGGCTGACACATGACAAAGTTTAGGCAGGAAATGGATTATATCGCAGGCAGTTAAAACGGATGCCATGGTGTAGCTCTTTTTTCGTACAGTGGAAAGGGCACTGAACCGACAGTTTTTCGAATGGACACTCCCTAACCAAGTTCTGACTGCATTGTGCGATAATCTGCCACCTCCTTGGGAGATGTAAAAACATTACTGGTCTGCTCTTGCCGTACTATGTCAGTTTGTGCCCAATAAAGACAGGAATTTAGTGTTACTTTTTGGCAATGAAGGATTCTGTTCCTTGGTTAGCAAGCATGTACGCATATTTTTATGCTTGAATAAATTCTTCAAGTTGGTCCAACAAAAGGTTAGTATGCCAGTTGAAGCTTAAAAATGTTTGGCTTTTGTGTTAAGATGTTTTGGACAGGGAGGGCGTACAAAAATTTAGGTTTCATGTGGCAGTTTGACACCACTTGGGACATTATGACTTTACATGGCGTCAATTTCAGATTTTATCGGGATATTATAGGTTCTTTGTCCGTTTATTTAGCAATTCATCCTGGTTACCTTATAGGAGCTTATGTTGCCCTTAGGTGACAACTGTTTCTGACTTACCCGTACAAGGGTACTGATAAGTTCAGATGAGTTTTTTAAAATTTAATTTCTAATTTAAGGAATCCACCTCTTAATCGGATTAACTGTGAAACCTTGAGAATCCCTAAAATTCCAAATTTTGTCGATGTTTTACATTAAAAAGATGAACGCATCTTTCAAACAGTATCATTTGGGATATACCTCAACTGTGTGTGATTGAATGCATTGCTATTCGTAGATGAAATATATTTGTGGATGCCACTCAGCTTAAGGTGGAAATGGCTTAGGAGCGGAAATGCGATGTCCCTTCAATGACTGTTCCTCTGGAGAATCCACAACAGAGTTCTCAGTCATACAGTATCATGTATTAGTTTCCTCCAAAGAAACGATCACCCCTTTCATGAGGGTTCCCATGGCGTTTTCCTCCTAAGAGGATCACATTATAACTCTGTCTTTTCTGGCGTCCTCCTTATTGGGCTTCCTGCTGGCACATTTCCAAAAGAAGTTCATGGCTACATCGAATGGGCTGAACAATAGCTAAAACCTAACCGCAACAGTACAAATGGATTAAATTATGACTTGACAACAGCAGCGACGCTGAGAGATTTACGGTAGCCGTCTCCGTAAGTTGCATGAATTAGATTCATCGTTGCACAGCTTAAGTCCCAACGTGATACTGAGGGACATGCTACATTATCCATAATTCGACTGTAGTCTACTCACCTGCAGACGGATAGCCTCGTCAGATTTTTGCCCTGCCAATCTAGTAAGTGAATTGCAGAATCGAGCATAATAACCGGCGGATGTGAAGGTATACTTGCCAGAGTTGATTGGCCACCGCTTAAGGATAAGTAAATTCGGAACGAGGCAAATGCACCTCCCTGATCTGAGAACACTTGAAGCTCATCGCAGTGCCCAGCGCATGAAGCAACCGTCTATATACACACCACTGCATCTCAAGCTTCAGCGGAAATTCACAGCAGACGAGAGTTGTTCAAGATGGTTGTTGACTTAATCGGATGACGTGACTGCTGTTGAGTACGACCGAATCAACACTGATCTTCTTCAATGGTTCGATACGTAACAACCCGTAGGCCTGGTATTTTACGTTTATGGTGAAGCTGCCCAATCGCGAAAAGCTGTTGCAAGGTCACTGTCTGATTGGTGCTGTCAAAATCGACTCATTCAGCGCACATAGGTGTTGTGCGACCCGAAAGCTGCGTCGTGCAGCAAACCTGGTCCGAAAATTCAATAAAAAACCGATCCAACCAACAACTCGAACTTTGACTTCTCAGCCAACTCCAGCTAGTCAACAGTTATATCCTTACTTCATGTCCTCAAACTCTGGAAGATATCCTACATTTGCTTTCAATCATCACTGCTGTGCACTCTTCTTTTGTGGACAAATAATAGAAATTTTTACAGATCAGCTGAGATAAGTGTATCTCACCTATCAGTGTTTTTGGACAAACATGCATATTAGGAGATCTGATGCTTAAGGGGGCTTCCCTTCACTTTTCTGATACAGAACACTAGAACGCTCTTCAACATTACCAGCTGAGGGCCCAACCCAACGTAGACATGTATAAATGCAACACTGCTTTTTCTTGTGTACCTTGATCGCCTAAATAATTTGACCACATGTGGATAGTGTGACTTTTGAGTTGTGCAGCTTGATCGAAATCGATGGATGTAGTTTGGAATATGGGAACGTCCAAACAGAAGCGACTTTTTGAGATTCAACTTATTGAGCCACTGCTGGTGTGGGGGCAGCTTTGGTAAACCACTGATCCGAAACATATCCAGAAAAGGGACTGCCATAGACTTGAAAAAGTGTTTCAACTGGCTCTCTTGAACGCCTGTCTGCGGCGTGAAGCGATGGCTAGTGAATTCAGTGCGCAACCTGTGAGCACGGTAAACGGCGTTTCGGGTATTATTAAATACTGACCAAATACTTCGACATACAAAGAGTAAAGTTGGTTTTGTGAACAAGAGCGCCGAAAATCTAACAGTTTGACGTTTCATTACATGTCTGCTATTATCATATATTTTCACCTATGAAACGAGTGTGACTACATATCGACAACATAGGAAGTAAAGTCTGAATTCTGGTAACATTTGAGAGAGTGCACAATTATTGATTTCAATGTTCGGAATGTTCGAGGAACCATGTGATCGTGTATACGTAGAAACATATGAGAAGTGATCATCCAAATAAATCCAATAGTTGCAGAAATGAGTACGCATTCTTTAATCTGATTCTGCTCTTGGACGCTCATAGAACGCGATTCTCCGATAGCGCAGGAGTGCACGCCAGAATCGCCAGTCCGTGCGAATCAACTGTTAAGTCCTACGTTCACGATGTTACTGCTCATTGTCAACATCTCGCAGAGGGTGCGCGACCTGATTCGGCGGGTCTCTAAGAGAGGTGCATTGCTTCGGACTATGGGAAATAAGGCCCTTGGAAGTGATCAATTGAGCTCCGTCAAACAGCATTTCATGACTTGCCAAAATAGACTCCAACGGACAACTCAGACAGGAGTCGTAAATATGTTGGGGATGTAGAATGGATGTAGTCAGACCAGAACGGTTGGGACCAGGGCGTGGCAGCTGCGAGTGGTGAGCTGGGAGTGGGTCAGTCGTGAAATAACTGTGTTGCAGAGCCTGGAGCAAAGATTAGGCAATGTACGTGAAAAGGAAACCAGAAAAGCGAATTGAAAACTCACAATTAAACAAACAGCAATAAATATAGATATTGAATATATAGATGTCCAAATAAAAATTGTGAAGTAAGTAGCATGAAACCCCATTAGGCCAAGTGCAAAAGATGAATATATATATATATATATATATATATATATATATATATATATATAAATCACTCGCNATATATATATATATATATATATATATATATATATATATATATATATATATATATATATATATATATATATATATATATATATATATATATATATATATATATATATATATATATATATATATATATATATATATATATATATATATATATATATATATATATATATATATATATATATATATATATATATATATATATATCGATAAATCACTGGCGTGAAGAGAAAAACGCGGTCGAACCAGGTCAGAGGGAATTAAAACTGAGATTTCCTACTTAGAATGGCTGTTTATCATAAGATTTCAATGATACCAAAACACTGGACTGACTTGAATTAAATCTGAGAAGAAAAGGACTGAACAACGTAAAAGTGGTGATGGAAACAGCTATCTTGGTGCCAGAGGAAACTGAACCGGGGAGAAAGTAGGGGTGGTGAAAAAGTTACAACGATATCTATAGCGTTAAATGTGACTTTTGAGCGATTGAAGGCTTAACGCCTTCAACTGACTTGTTGTGCAGTAAGCAATACATTCTTTCACAAGTCCTAATCAGACAGCATTCAGGATTGCACTTCAGGGATCAACTTTCAACTGTCATCTTCAGTCCTCCATTCAATGACCGTCTGGTGTTTTGTCGAATGACTGGTAAAATAAAAAGATTTCAATCACCAAAGGATCATAAATTCAACAACCTCACGGGTTGGGATACAGGTGGCGTGTTTTGAACGAGTATGTAGCACTCCACACTCGCAGTATTCAACTTCCAGACACCAATAGAGACTACTGTCTTCTTGGTCGCGTACGCCAGGTTTTGTATATACTTCTGTTCCGGTTTTGTCGGGGTTGGCTGAGTAGTGTGACCACCTTTCAGGCGCTTTTATACTGGACGTGCTAAATAGCTGGTCAGTTATAACTTGGAATTTTGCCGGCATCACTGTGAGCCATCCGTACAAAATCTTATGCGGACAGAAAAGAATCAGAAACGCAACCCAGTCGTTCACCGCCACCCATCGTTCAAACCACCCGATATGATTAACTCACGGGAACTTCGCGGTTATTTCTGTCACAGAAAACTGGTGCTTCACTGGCATAAAAACATGTCAGTTTATCTGAGTAAAGTCTTGTAATAGAAAGGAAGAAAGTGGAGAAAGAAAGGGGACCCAGGGTTAGCCCACCGCAAAGATTCGAGATGCCTGGACCTCCGATACTTAGACAATCTGGATAGAAGCTGACAAAAGAACGCCAGGACACCAATAACTCACCATCGATAAATGAACTGATCACACTGCATAGGTTGCGCTGGCCTGGCGACGTGTTGCGACCGACTTCCTCGAAGGACCCTTTTCGCACAACCACGTGAAGGGTGGAAGAGAGCCAGAGGCGGTCAAACAGTGACTTGGGAGCGAAGTATGAAAGCCATTACCAGCAAACTCAGCTGCGCTGGTCACTGCCGTCTTCCTGGATAGGGACCCCGAGACGGGCTACATCAATTGCTAGAGACATTGTCAGACATGGCCCAGTAGCGCCCTCAATGGCGCTCGTGCATCCAAGCTATTGCCTTCAATGCACAGCTCTTTTTCCGACCCCTCCGGCCCACTTAACAGCCCACTGACAGTGGTGGATTTATGCACCAATTTATCAGCTACACCTGCAATGCGCAGAGACCTATCCCCCCCCAAAAAAAAATCATCGGTGAACGAAACTGCGGCAGCTACAACCACTGTACGACGAGTACGCGGTTAGTACAGCTGACAATGACGACATCAATTGGCTGCCATATCTCCCGATATGAAGAAGGATCAAGTGGACCCCAGTCTGAAGGGAAAACACCACCAACGGCGCCCAAGCTTGTTGTAACATCCTGTATTATTTTCAAAACATTTTGGAAAACCATAAGCATTCCGAAGACATTGATTGGTTGAAGGGTCATCCAAGGAATATAGTGAGAAAACTCACCCTGGTGGCAGATATTCTTTCATCTGGCGGATAGATCAGAAACTGTTTGATTAGATCCACTGCTTCGCGTGACGCATCCGGAAGGACGTCTTCAAAAGGCGTTGGTTCACAAGCATTGAAAGTTATTTTATTGTAGTCTGGCAAATCCTTCAGTTCCTGAATTTGGGAAGTGTGCGGAGAAATTGGAAATGTACGAGAGGCTTAGCCTAATTGAGTGACAGAAAAATTTTCCGGGGTATATATTTGGCATGAAACCATTCAAAGTAGTTGGCGTCATTTATAATCGAAGTCTAAAGTTCAGTTATTCTGCGGGGTCACTATAGAACAGACTCGCCTGCAAGCCGAGGCCGCACACCAGACCTTTTAGGCTGGGTTTAATTCATACTTTGTGTATAGATGCCTGAACACTCACCTTGTTCGGTCCTTGTAGTTACCTTGCTCCAAATTCCTTCGTTCGGAGTACCCTGTGACTTGCGTCCCATCGTATGAAGAGCGCTGTGAGCAAGTCTCCGATTTTGTTTCGTATCAACGCAGCACGTTATTTCTAGCTTAGTTCGTAATGGGATGTCCATTCATTCACCAAGCTTCCGCCCACTACCCAAAATTTCGTCTTATCATCACGTCAACCGAATATGACGACCGTCATATGGGCGAGATGGCCCAAGAGGCTAGAGCGCACATTTACCGACCGGAAGGTCCGTGGTTCGAACCCGACATTTGGCACTCGACCTCCCCTGTCTAGGGTTGGGCAACCTGGCAGTATCGCAGCCTCGTGCTTCCTCCGGGTGGCATGGCAGCCAGGCACCGAAAGGGTGCAACAGCTAAACGAGCTATTTATTTTTATATGACGACCGTCACAGCTATGCCCTACAACTTGCCCTCACTGGGCAGTTTACCATTAAGTGGCATGGCACCAGGCACCGAAAGGGTGCAACAGCTAAACGAGCTATTTATTTTTATATGACGACCGTCACAGCTATGCCCTACAACTTGCCCTCACTGGGCAGTTTACCATTAAGTTATATATTCTCACTTAGGCTTCTCCAACAGATCTTCCAACAGGCAGTGAAGTTAGAGAAACACTGTGTTTGGAAAGCTGAGAGTGGCTGGCGCGAAATTACGGGAAGATCAGGCCCCGTTGAGCTAGAGACTGTTGATTACTGAAATATCTTGAGTTTCATTGTGTTGCTGTGATTTCAATGCAAGCAAGACCTAACTTGCGTCCAGAAGTTGCTAGTCCACCTGACCTTGGATACCATCAGGAGCGCCCAACCAACATTGTATTGCCAATCGGATTAGTTTAACCACGCGAGAATAGTAAGAGATTTGCTTTATGGAGCCCAGGTAAAAGTGCATATATTCCGGGTGGAATTCATTATCCTTAGTCAACATTAGTTGAGTAGTGTTGGCTGTACGAGTAACAATATTAAACAGTGTTCGTAAGTCCGGACCAAAAATAAGGAATATGCCGTTGTAGGGAAGGATACGGCAAGTTCACACGTAGTTCTGCTCGCTAACGGCAACAAAAATGCCGAACAACGGGGAGTGCGGTTTTCTTGAACACTACTCACAAGACTGCAGGAAACTCTTCGACAGCCTACATCCTTCCTGGAGCTCATCTGTTAGATGTGGTCCCAGAATTTCCGTTGGCCTTGTGTTCTACTGGAACCAAAATTTACCAAATACACTCATTCACACACTGATTCGGAAGGACTCAAGTGCATCCGCCTAAACCCCTCGTTTGCGAAATCCTTCAACCGGATTTGCTGTAGGTCACCAAGTTTTTCAGGTGGTACGATACTCGACACAACAGTATATTCTTTAAGCGTAACACACTATTCATAGGGTTACTAAAAACTTTTGACTACCCAAGGCCGGTTCACTCTTCTCTTATTAAATTGGTCTGTAACTGAATGCATTCCGCATTGAAGCAGAACATAATTTTGAAAACTCGGGGGCTGTACATACCACATGGACCCTGAGAAACCGGTGATCGGCTGTCGAAGGGTTTTCAGGAACCCTACGAGTAGTGTTGCTTTAAGGTAACTCACTGCGATATTTTGAATATCGTACCAACTGAGGCCTTTGTGCAGCATATTCAGTTGAAGAATATCACACACCAGAGATTTAGCTAGGAATAACTTGAGCCTCCTATTAAAGCCATCTTGGTGCGCAAAAAGGTGTATTCAGAGGACGGAGCTTATCATTTCAGTTTACGAAACGCGTAAAATGGAATATAAATTGATGCCCATTCGCTTACAACATCTGAGGCACAATAATTCGGCATTAAGAGTGAATTTGTTGAACAAAGCGTAGGTTCTGATCCGGAATCTGTGCTAACTAAAGGACCCTCAGCTCATTTCTAGTTGGCAGACGGGTAAACTGTCGACCAACGCGTGAAGGAAAGCGATGGCAATAAAAAGTGCCGCACTTATCAAGATATCCACGTGCTCCCGTAGCCTATAAAACTTATTTTTTCATGTGTAACACTTGCTTTTTTGGCAAACCACATCGATAGCTCTCCTAGCATATTCTTCGGTCTACATCTTATGTAGTTAACACGGAATGTTCTCTCTAGTGATTATCAACTGCTTCAATACGAATTTGGTATCCACCCATGGCGTGACAATCTACTGTACGAACAAGGTCTTTCGAGCTCGCTTACTCCATTGTCTGTTACTGAGTAATGGACGTGGAAAAATCTTCCAAAGGATCTTCTCACCAGTAATTAAGACTCAACATTTGGATTGGATAGTAATAATTACATCCAAATGCGCTCAAAGCCTAAAATGAAGATGCTCGTCCACGACCAATTAAATCTATGGTAAATGTGTTCCAGTCAGTCAGTCGAGTGGTTCGCGGAGAAGACAAAACCTAAGCCACACAGCCTTGAGTGTTGCTCCTCGTCCGATTCCGTACTGCACGTCACAGACAAGGTCACAAGGCCCGCTCCGTGTTTACCAAAGATTCACTTTCGGATAGTGTTTTTATCTTCGTCTGACTTTTCCGTAACCTGCATAAAGTTAGATAAAACATAAAATCAACTGGCCAAGTCGCACTGTCCGTGTCCGTGATAGATCAGCGGTAAAGGTACGAAGATACTAAGGGGAACTCCGTCCCATCTAGCCTTGGGTGACCTGACAAGTTCCCATCCCTCGTGGTTCGTTCGAGTAGTATGGCGTGTATCCACCGAGGAGGCACGACAGCCGAGTGATCTACTTTTCTATTTCCCCTTGCCTTATCAACAACGGAGGGTGTTACAATAAGGAGACCGTTGCGTACAGTGTCACTGAGTTACCACGACAAAACGTTTGACAGGCACTGGAACAGTGCGGACATTTTGCGCATAGCAGCTGGACGGTGGTTGGTTTTTTCGTGTATTCACTAGTCGGACCAACTAAGCTGAGTCCGCTTCAGGAGAGACACGACAAACATCGGTTAAGAATTGAGCACCACCAAAGGCGAAAAATGGGATTATGAATAGACTTAGTAAGTGCCATCGGCTTCCGGATAACGAAAACTTTCAACCAACACATCCAACTTTGTGTGCACGAATAAGCCAAAATGCAACTCACTGGCCAGATCGTCTCATTTGGAGTCCCCAGTATCTTGATGACTACCCATAGCTGTTCAATATCATTTTCACCCTGGACCATTATATTTATTTTCCATTTGACATACCGGGAACAGTGGAGAATTGTTGAGCAGCTCGCCAAAAATGCATCCAATCGCCCTTTCATTTGATTATAAGTAAAAAATAACCACACAAACCATAGATCCACAGCGGCGGAGTATTTCTTTGCACCATACAGAAGCTCTGGAGCGCGATACCATCTGAAATGATGGAATACTTTCGAGATGAAGTTACCTCGTGGCAACCTGATGACTGTAAAGCCTTTCTTTCGTGTTTTGGAAGAGCCTGGCCAGTCCAAAGTCTGCGATTTTTAGGAGGCCACTTGAAGAGATGAGCAAATTGGCAGGCTTCAGGTCCTTAAAAAGAAATCATGGAGGGATAAGGTAAGTTGCTGGACATGGGTTAAGAAAAGACGGACTAAAATATTCCTCCAAATAGCTATGGAACTGTTTCGAAACTTTAATAAAGGATAGCGTCTTTGCACACGGAAACAATGCTCTGGGATGAAATTCGACCCGGGAAACTATTCGGCAGACACTGAAACAAGAATGCCTACACAAGAACAAACAAATCTACCAAAGATCAGTCCTGCTTTACAACGTGTGGAAGCGATGGCAAAACACGAAATCCTGACATATGATGTGCCTTCGGTACACCGTGCCAGATAAAAAAAACCGGTACTTCACATTTTCATCCCAAATCAATCTCAAACAGCGCAACTCATTTCATACTGACAGAGTGCGGGAAATGGACATGATATCTGAAAAAAGACGGAGTACCTTATCCGTGGATGTTTGTCAGTATAGTGTCAGAGAGAGGAAACGTCCCTTCCACCAATGAAACACTTCTGAAGTAAACTAAGGCGATAGCTTGCTTCCAGCACACTGCGTTTGCTGCAGACTTGCTGTGCCACAAAAACAAAAAAACATTCGACTATGGTACATTTTCTGTGCAACCCGAAGAAAGCACTACGGCACAGATAGTGCAGGGTATCAACACCTAGACAGGACCAATCGGAAAGTTAGTGTTGGACCAAACCTATCGCCCAAAATGCAGAGTTCCCACAGTGTTGATTGGCTTCTTGACGGTTGTATGCGAGTGTGCTCACAAGAAACGATCAGTCACTGAGTGTATGGGAAGCGCGGGGAACCCAACAAGGCTACATATACCAACTACTACATATCTGATCTACTTTTGGGCGCAGCTTGACCGGATAAACCAAGATGCAGTGAAATATAACGGGATAAGATTTTGCCTCATCAAAGCCAATGAGGCTACTGCGGTCGGCGTGCAATGGCTGTCCAATTCCAATGAAGACATATATTGGAACGGTAAAATTATCACACAGAACTTCTGACTCTACCAGGTGTGGAGAGATTTTCAGTAAGGTAGATGGATTATGGGTTGAAATCATTCGTCCCGTTATTACACCCGAAGATTTGACCATCAATCTACCAATCGGTTAAACTGTTGGCACAACTTTCAGGGTTCAACACGGATTATGTAGGGGTTCGCACAGCATAGGGTGAAGCAAAGTGAAGTTGTCTCCCAAGTCCAACGGGAGCATCAATATTCACACGACTAACGATACGATGGAACACCGAGTTACTTCACAAGTAGCGACTGTTGTAAACGTCGTTGCTGTTCACGACAAACGGATCCGGTACCATAATCATCGCGCCCAACCACTCAAAATGGGATATACAAGGGGTTATTAAAACCATCAAATCATCGACGGCAATTGACTTTGGTTTTCAATCCATTTGAGGTTGTGGAGCTGCACTGGTTGGCACCTTTCCCAGCTGATGCCATCGGCATATAGCTTACATTGAAGCATACGACGCTCTGTTTAAACGTCTCATATACTGGTGTTTGATTACCACGCGTGCATTCTCTCAAAGTTGTTCGGTTAAGTTTGTATTCCAGGCGGATGGAAATCATTCAGTTATTTCGATCATTAGTCCGGTGGCTTGCGTGATCACGTAGCTATTTTACTATTGGGTCGAGAGTTAACCGGGCTGTTTTAATACTTAAGACACGGTGCATAACTAATCCACAGGCCAAAGCCTCCGGAGTTACACAAGTGAAAACATTTGCGACAGCAAGGGAAATCGACCGAGGATGGGTGAACATGCACACCATCTGCACTTTGCCAAGCACGAGCACACGCTGTCCAACGACACTGACGTGTGCTCATTGCTGTTCTTCAGCCTCACAATATTTGCAAAGCCGGTGAACCTATTAAGTAAGCCTGTTGTTGTGTCCCACACACGTTTGTAGTGAGATAAGTTTCCACCCTGTGATCTAAGTCTGAACACCGGGCGGAGCTCGATAATCATGCAGATCAATCGGAGTGGTTTCACAGTCACCTCTTTTTTATACCGATGTGAGTGCTCTCCCCGTCGGAATAATCCCAGGATGTCTTCAAGAAGACAAGCGGCGAGCAAATCGTTTTCCAGGTATCGTCTTCAGAGCAATACTTACCTACTGGTTACATAGGTCATATTGTAAAAAATAAGCAATAAGGTCAAAAAGCGGGTTACCATTTGTCCAGCATAACAAACAATTCGTATGGGCAACTGGCCCGGCCGTAGTGGTCGTCCGGCTGTAACATCCTTTCGGTGCCTAGATGCCATGCCACCCGAATGAGGCACTAGGGCTGTAATACTGCCAGGTTGCTCAAGCCTAGACAGAAGTCGAGAGGCAGAGGTCGCGTTCGAACCACGGACCTTCCAGGCAGTAAATCCGCCCTCTAACCACTGAGCTATCCCGTCCTGCCGTAGACTAAAAGGTCAACAGTTTGAACGTGACCGCAAAACTAGTAGGTGTATCGGGTGTTTTTTCTCACAGAACCAAGGCAAACTGTATGCCCGTACAAAGCGTTTCTGGTAACTGTAGGTCGGGTGACATGGGTACACCGTAGCAGCTTCTGCCGTGGCTGAGCGGCGCAAGGAACCACTTTGACGTGACTCGTCATCATCATCAACAGCTGTAATAACCGCGTACTCATCGTACAGTGGCTCGTGTCAAACAAGGATACAACTAGAACGATTCTGATTGACCTAGTGGTTCCGCTAATGTATAAGAAGGCAGTATCGTAACCACCACTTAAGTTGTCTACCATTATGCTGGCCTGGCCGTTTGCTCTGTACAAGTAAAAAGCAACGGTGTGACTGTACTGCCCTTCATCATGACCAGATCCACCATCATCATAGTCATCATAGATAGCAACATCAGTGTTGACACTGATGATTCACCATCGTGCAACCAAAAAGTTTACCAAGTGATAGTTAAAGCATAAGGATGGAAGGAAGAGAAAAGAGTTGGTAAAGAAAAGGACCTGGAACTGGCCTACAGCAAGTAATCTGAGGCGCACACACCTCCGATCGCTCAACCAGACAATATGGAATAAACTGGCAGAAACAAACGCCACCGACATCGACCAACCATTTCTTACACTGTCATCAATGGTAGAAGGGGTCGTGGGGACATCCTGGAAGGCCGACCATACCAACAACACCCAAACTCTTTGTAACCTTCTTCACATTCTCCTAGCAAATCACACATTATAAACCTAGCGATTTGCACTATACGGAAGGAGTCACGGAGGACGATACTCATCTCGGTAGACGGTGTGAGCAGTACACGACCGAACCACCACAGTTGACGGAGGTGGATGTTTCCCGCAGATGAAGTACCTGCTTTACAACCAAATATGTTTCTTAATTACCTCATAACCAATTCGTTGACGGTATCAGAAACCAGAAACGTTTCTGAGGCACCGGTGGTCTAAAACCCGAGTTTGAGGCAACTTAGTGCTGAGGCGCGAACTTACTGACCAGAAGGTCCGTGGTTCAAACACAATCTCAGCATCTCGACCGATTTTGTCTAGACTTCGGCAATATGACAGTTGTTTATCCCTCGTGTGTCCCCTTGGAGTCATTGCACATAGGCACAGAAGACATGTTACAGATAAACGACTAGTCTTCGAGATTCGTGCACTGACTTCGGTCGGGGCAAACACGACCAAGGTACATAAAATTCTCACTAACCTCCACTGAGCATTCCTGAATTGTACGCGGTATTTTCGGAGACTGCACTTTCTGAAGCATGACTTTATACTTTGAAGGGAGAGGCGCATGGCGAAAGATAATATGACGATAGCCAGTTCACTTACCAGGGCTTGTGTTTTGCCTTTGTCTTCAAAGTTATCGTCCGCGTACTCCGGATCGACAGGGTTCTCACCAGGAACGACCTGAACAACAAGGCTTTGAAGACCTTTCAGCGTCAATGACGACGTCGAACAAGAATGGATAGTGGACATCCTTGTCAGAGACCATGTTTTGTGGACTGGCTTTTAAGGAGCCTAACACAGGCTTTGATATGCCCAGAAGTATGTGAATATAGGGGACCAATTACGCTCATAAAATTATGGGGCATACCAAGTTGAACGAGTGTGCCCAAGAGCAGTAGTCATCAGCGAAATTGAACGCGACCTTGAAGTCGAGAAACACCGAGACTGTGGGCCATCGGTACACATGACGTTAATCTAACACCTCACGGAGCATGAAGATGTGGTCGACACAGTCTGTCCCGTCGAAACCCTGATGTTCACGGGTCAAGGATTCGCGTACTGCCATAAGACGACGAGGAAATAGTGACTAGTGAACTAGGCCATATTTGACAATGTATCTAAACAGTGATGTGTCCAGACACTGGACCTCCATTCAGGGAGAAAGCAAACCAGTTGAGTTTGCCAGTACTGATTTTCACACTTCGCTGCCAGGTCATTGTTCGATCTCCCTTCGCTCACCTCCACCCTTAGCATGTTTTTTTATTATTTATTATTTCTTTCGGAGACCGTTTGGTGTACTTCAGCTCTATTGATCCGGTGTTCTCACCAGATGGGGTAAATGCTCCGAAGACACCGATGGTCAAGCAGTGAGTTTTTGATGTCCTTGAGGTGAAGAGGCCATGTTTCTGATCCACATAATAATATGGGGCGCATCACAGCACTGTGGACGCGATCCCTGACGGATAAGCTGGTTTCATTCTTACGCCACAGTTCATGTTCACGAAAGTTACTCTGGCCTTTCAGATCCCGATGGAGATGTCGTCTTTGGCTGAACCACCGGGAATGATACAACTGTCCGGATTTAGCATAGCAGCTGGCCAACTGGATTGTTGTGTGGAGTACCGTGTTGGACATTGGAGCCATTTTGGTCCCTGATAGTTTCGCTGAAAGGGGGCTTCCAGGGACCGGTCAAACAGATCAAGTGATGTAGCCTTTGCATTTTGCGCACCTGTTTCTTGAACTTTTCGAGTCCATCAAGCTCCGAATATCCACGGGCACGTGGCGCCGAATGGTGAGTCGGTTTGAGTTGTGGTTGCGACCAGGAGAAATCTATCGCCGGGTCTCCAACAAAACCACGGTCCTGTCAGAGATCCACCTTTTGGATGAGGTTGGCCTCAGCGGCGCTGTCTACCTACCTGAGCAACGACAACGCCTGGGCCTTTATCCCGTTGAAAAAGAGCGTATAGATCGTCATAGCAATTGTCCTTGGCAGATTCAGTTTTTTGGGGCTTAAGAAGACACAATAAACGGGGTGCGGTCACTCTCACCTTCTCGAAATTCGTTCACTGACGTTGCCAAGCAAATTAGGCATACATTCAAGTGGTGACACTACCGCTCGATCGCTTCATACGACAAACACGCCGGTAGGTTGGGTAGCCGGAACCTGTCAGATAGCGGGGGCATCAGTCCAATTACAATTCTTGCACCCTACATCCTTGTTTCAGACGGACAGCTTATCAGTGCAGGTTGAATCCAGAGTACGAGCGAGAGCAACTTATTTTTTTGCTTGTTCCAATGCGCGAACAATTAAGGCATCTAAGTGAACCAGGTACAAATGTGTGGTCGGAAACGATAATGCACATTAATAACACAATCATCCATCAAGGGACAAAGGAACAATCACTAGAACCAAGATCAGATTTTCCCGGCTCATTGATGATATTGGGAACGACAGAACCTCTATTAAGCATCAGATTTTACAGTCCATGGATGTTCAGATACAGAATTAGGTCGTGATCCAACCGTCCGACCGGAACTCCCAATTTTGTGGGTAAAAATGGCGCACATCTGACGCTGATTCAGCAGCCGTAGACTTGAAATCTATACAGACTACAGTGATGATACAAATCAGGTTAAACATCCAAAGAAGTGTACCGCTCCACCTATGCAAAAGAAACCATTGCCAAGAGCCTATTGGTTGGTCGATTTACCCACGCGCATACAAAAAGTGTCAACAACGAGGAAACGTACGCGATGCATAATCCCATTTTCGTGCATCACCTCAACTCCACAAAGGAGCATTTGTAAATAGCTTTTAATCTGACTGTTGTTCATCGGGGCCTCGGAACTTCGTATAACCTCGGTAAGGTCCGTCATCATGTAATCGAACACGAGCACAAATCCGGTGCTATGAGGAAACACTTCTCTCAGCCGGACAACATATGGACTAACATCAAGGAACTGCAATGTCTTGATCTCTCTATACATTAGACTCAAGCAAATCTACCTACCTTAGAGCAGTACTTCGAATCCCATCCGCTATCTTCCGAAGAGGTACTTTCTTCAAGGCCACATACTCGCCGCTCTATTGATCAAGATACATAAAGAAATTGGGTTATACCTCTATGTGTCTAGCTTTCAGTACTATGCCATGGGCACCCTCACCAATGCGTCCGACCACAGCGTAATTTTCCATCTGTTACCAAGCTACGGACGAGCCAATGGATTGCGAGAGACAAGCTATTCATCGTTGCGATTGGATGACAATTAACTAGCTCAGTCATGACCTTGAGCCGTGAAGTGGCTCATGATTTTGACTGTACGGATTAAAGAATTCGCCCCCAACAGAAACAGTGCCTGTTTCGGTATCGGGCGAGATAAGCCATCTGTTCCGGTCTCCATTGGAGTTCCTCAAGGCTCCGTCTTGGGACCACTCCTGTTTCTGATCTACGTCAACGACCTCCCAGACGTTCTTGCGAGTCCATGTTTACCTTTAGCGGACGACTTGAAATCCTGGAGTTCCAATGCCAGCGCCCTCCAAATGGATGTAGACGCTGCCAAGCAGTGGTCGTTGGACTGGCACCTTCCTCTGAATGATGAAAAGTGCGTCCATATGTCGCTTGGAGGGGATTCAGCGAATGAATTTGTTATGCATGGTGAAAAGGGACCAGAAAAAATCATGAGGATAGATGCCAAAAAAGATTTAGGCATCTGGGTCTCCTCAAACTTGTCCTTCGCACCACACCATGAGAAATCGGCCCAAAAGGCATTCGCCGTTTTACGGATGATCCGACGTACCTTCTCCCGTATTACGGGAGACGTCAGACCGCTCCTGGAGTACGCCAACAAAGTTGTCTACTCAGGACGTACGAAAGACGTTACCCTCATTGAGCGTGTCCAGCGGGCCGCCACGAGAATAGTTGCCGGCCTCAAGTCCGTGGACTACGAAACGCGTATCGCGATGCTTGATCTCTTTCCCCCGGAGTACCGTCGCCTCCG